TTCAGAGAATGGCAGAATGTAGGAGTCAGCGAGAATGACAGGAACACAGCCAGCCTGCAACACATCACTGAGGGCAGCCTGACCCAAACGGGCCCCCCGCAAAACCACACAGAATGAGGACTCCTGTAGAGACACATTGGGAACTGTTAATGGGACACGTTGAATTGCACAAAAAGGACAAAATCAAATCAAACCCTACAGAATAATTTCACCTCTAGATCATTCTTCTCAATTCAAACAACATTTAGGAACTTTAACTGCATTTTGAACACAGTTACCTTGTTCCAGTTTTAGTTCCTAGAGGTTAACTCCCCAAAAGGTTCCTGTTACCAAGGGAAGTGTGTATTTAAGGTTACATGAATTAGCAGGCTCCAGGAACTGCTGCACTTATTGTTGCTGAGTGGTAAAACACAAGCCGCTCAAACATCTATTCAACATCCATTTAGCCTTTCACTATCACTTGGTGGTGGTGGTATTAATATTAGTTATTGGGATGGGTATTTCTTTTAAAGAAAATAAATGTTTAAAAAAATCATGCCGCCAACTCCGCTTGTATTGGTGTTGTTCTTTGGGAAAGTATTGCATTTAACAAAAGGTGGTCTTAAAACTACATCTTCAATATAACAAATTGTATTCAATGCAGTGCCCCCTACCTGAAGGATCTGTGGGTAGTCGTACACCTGCCCCTTGTAACATCGTTTTCGTGCAGAGGCGGCCCCCTGGGAGAGGTTGCTACACTTGTCCAGGAGGAGAAGTGCTTCTCCATTTTCTTCCTTCAAGCGCTCTAGTTCAGCGCGGTACTCTCGGTGGATGGCGGTTTGAGGGGAGAGAATAAAGTAGCGCCGTGGCCTGGGAGAATGGAGACAGGAGATATAAAGAGGCAAATGGTTATAATATTCTATACCGTTGACTATATATTACTTCTCAATCAAGCCTAGACTAATGAGTGTTGCTAAACCACAATTACTTTAATATACTCCCTTGGAGCCCTTTCCGTATAGAAGATGTTGAAGGATAAGGTATTTGAGGTGACACTAATCTGGTCATGATGTGCTACTCAAACAAGACAATGAGAGGTAATGTGTGCTCACCCTGGCTGTCTCTCAGGCAGCTCAACATCTGCGGAGAGGGGGCTGTAAACGGGGATGCTGACATCATAACCTTGTCTGTAGGTCCATGTAGAGAAACCTCCTCCAGCCAGCAGCGCTCTGAAACAAAAGAATGCTTCAACACTCATGTTTCAACAGGTACAGTTACCAACTCAAAAACACAAACTCCTTAATTTGCTTCCTTTTAGAATTGTTGCTATCACCAATGCAGATATAAGATATAAAGTGATATCAAACAAGGCTCTGTGCCCTGGTTAATAGATCCCATGTAGTCCACTAGGTGATGAAAAGTATTTTGGAGTCTGTTCTTTTCTCACGCAAGGTGAATATAAAGTGGAAACACACCGTCAGTCACACACACCTGGTTCTAATGAGGCACCATGCCAAATGGACTCCAGTTGGAAAGCCCAGGAAATTCCTTACAGCTAAAAAGGTAGTGTTCATTGTCTCAAGGCTGCATGTTCATAAACCCATCCTCAACCATCACTCTGGACTGTCTATTGGACATCTTGAGAAACCAAGGCTCTTCGCTGGTAAATACAACCAGATTTTAAACGTCTCCTCAAGGCCTCTTAAATATATCCTACCTCCAACTTAATGGTATAATCTCCTTCTTCTTTATGAAATCATCATTCAGTGTGATTGACTGCTGTTGCAATAGTAAATGCTACCTTTAATATTAATCCATTTTAGAAGAAACATTGATTTAATACAACAGAATATACACAAACAAGATATTATTTATCTACAAATATTTACCTTTTTTTTTTGTATCTACAAGTGGTACGTTTCTGATCTTAAAAGCATGAATCTTGAAAGCATTCTATCCTCCTCCTTGGTGTTGTAAAAACAATGCATTATATTTGAATTTTAAGCTTTTTTCATGTCTGAATTGACTGTGATGGTATATCAGCTGATGACACTTGTTTAGCTACAATGAATGCACCAAGCCTATCCTTTGATGGAAGAGTATTGTTTTCTACATATTTCCATTCATTTCACTTAATATCATAATGAAGATATTATTTAATATTAAGATTGTGTCTCAGATGTATAGTAGTGGGTACCTGTCTCTGGGCACATCCAAGGCAGTATTGTAGTCTGGAGGGCCCCCGGGTAACATGTTGAAAAGTAGGTGATTCATCCCTTTGTCCCATCTACAAAAATACAATAATACACAAGATTAGTGTTGGATTGATACATTAATTAACATCATATTTGATTTTTAAAAAGGTTTCGTATTGGCAGTGGTTTCAGATAATCAAAGTTTTAAACAGTTATATAATTGTGACATTTTTAAATTGTAAGAGATTACTTAATACAACTGTTTGAAATGTTCTGGGGAAGAATTATTAAAGGTTTGCAAGAAAACAAAAAAGTTGATAAATATAATTCGGCTTTTGTGACATTTCAGCTTTAAAACCCATGACAAGAACACAGATATAGGACGATGAAGTTATTTTCAAACATTTACCTGGGTAGCATTGCCAGAGCCTGGGCAGTCTCTCTTATACGCAGAGAGTTCTGGTTCAGCACATCAACAGATGGGATGAAAAGACAAGCCCTGGTGACGTCGTCAGTGTAAAAGTCACTGTCTGAGATGGCACTGAGCAGGTCATTGTATTCTCGAGACAGTCCATTGCTGCTGATGGGAACCCCCAATTCATCTACAAACTTCTGCAGAGGGTAGATGTACACCTACAAAAGCAGCCATTTAAACAATGAGTTATAACCTTAACACGGAGCAATGCAAAATATTGAAACGATACACCTATTTTGTCTGAGCTCAGTAATTTAAGGGTTGTTTTGAGAGTCTTTTACCTTGATTCTGTTTTTAGGATTGTAGCCACATCTGTACACATCAAAACAGGTGTGCATGCGACAGCTGAGGTCCCCCCTCTCAGGAATGGGATTGGAGACAGGCAGGCGGATCAGAGGAGCGTCGTGGACACTGCGTTTATCCATGGTCCAGTCAGTTGCTGACTCAATGGAGTGGGGCCAGAACTGAAACATCCCGGTGGCAATGAGTCCGAGCAGCACCACAGAGAAGAGGGTGATGTAGTATATGCGGTGCTTGGTTTTCATCCGTGGGATGAGAGCAGGGCCCCGCGAGGTGTATTTCCCAGAGGCATACATGGCTGAACCTCCAACCAGCCACTGTTAAGACAAGAAATGGTAAATGACAGCTTCCGTATATACACAATGAAGAACAATCTACCCTGGTACAAAAAAAAAAAGGTTAAACAATCGAACTCAAGAGAAAGACAAACGGACGTTGTCCAAGTATTATTTAATAACACCGCATAGTTCAGGCAGACCTCTTTCATAATTTGGAGGGGGGGCTCTTTATTACATTCATATTGGGAGGAGATTGGCTACAAAGTAAGGAACGTTTTTGGAATACAAGTTGAATACTCCTTTTCACATTGGCAGAAATCCCGGACAATGTCATGACCCAGGATGCATGTCTAATAGAGAAGGATGCGTGCAATAAATCCATCCCTCGGAAGTGGCTGCAGGCAAACCGGCCTTCAAAAGGATGAATGGATCGCAATTGTTAATGAGATACACCCTTCCGAAAAAAATACTTTTACTTAAGTTTAAGATGTGATCAATAATGTACAGGAAAAATAGACTACATACTTTAACCTAAACCAAATGACTGGTAAAAACTTGCTTAAAGAATGCAGTGCATATTTAACCCGTTATTAATCACGTGAATCAGATGTTTATATGATACTTATTTCAATTACTTTGCTGTCAACGACAAGACTAGTGAATCATAGCGTATATGTGTAAAATATGTGTAAAATATAGGCAACCGCGGATGACATCAAGCCAAAATATTAACCATAACGCCGAGGAGACAAACAAATTGTTCAGTTAGCATATGGTATATGTTTAAGGAACAGCAATGTTTGAATAACTGGAAAGCTTACACGGCTAACGTAGGTTAGCAGCAAGCTAAGATAAACCAGCTGTATAAATATTTGGCTAAAATTGTCTCACTTACGTCAGCTGACATGATTCAACGTTAATAAAACGATCCGAAAAGAGTACAGTATGTTCCACTTACCGAAAAATGTAACAGAACGGGGTATGACAGGTTGGTTCTTAATTCATGGCAACGATTATAAAACAGGCTACACTAGTAAATACTGTTAGTGCTAACCTACCATAGAGCTAACGCTAGAGTAAATTGCTCAACGGTTTCCCGGAAATCTGTCTTCTTCGCTGATATGTATGTGAGTGACTCAGGAGGTAGAAACTCTGCTTCCCTCTGGTGGGGGTAGATGCACAATGATCAGCTGGACAATCTGCTTTACAATTAAACATGTTTAATCCCCCTCAACCATACAAAATACAGTTAAAATACCCAGTTTATTCTAAATTCAAAAGAATTTCTCTAGAACAGGTCTAAGGTGTGTCATTGGTGATATCAAACAGAAACCTCCAACCCACTGTCCCCAGTTCCACTGCACACGCATAATACACTGCACCTACACTCAGGCTTAGATATAGCCCAAAATAACCATTACTCAAAATCTGTACTCAGTCAGCAGTCCTAATACTGAGGACATCTTTACATCAAACAAAGGATGGGTAGGCAAGTCTAGGTATTTTCCTCCATGTATCGATTGTATTTGATATAAAACATTGTTTTAAGTCATTTTTTGCCGAAATGTGCCTTAAACAGAAACTCAACAGAACATTGATTGATTTATTTATCTATTCATATTTTCAAGTTAAACTGTATCTGGTCAATTCGTAGCAGTGATGAAAAGGAGCGGACCCAAATAACATGAGGCATCAAATTCAATGTGTTTTCTCATTTTAAATATGACAGTTATCACAATGCTGACTACATTTTATAAGTGAATACTGAAAGAGATATGACAGAACATCCTTGTTATTTTCATGGTTTGTAGTTTATTCCATTACAGGCAGGGCAGTGTGGGGGAGGGATTCAATACATTCTCATTGTGGGGCAGGAAGGAGGGGAAGCAAACCAGGTAAACATGGACAAGACATAGTTGAATTATTCTTCTTTCAATATAGACCAATTTGTAAATCTGCCAATAGTTTGAATAAATAACTTTCAGATGAACATTTCTTTCTCTACACGTCAATACTGATATCTTTTAATATACTCATTATCTCCTTATTGTTATATAGTTGTTTTCTACATGATTCTATTGGAATTCATCTTTTTTTTTAAACATCTGCATACATAATTACACATAGAACATGGTGCTGTACACATCATGGTGGAAAGTATTATAGTGCTTTCTTTCAGCAGTGTTTTAGTGTATGACAGGCTGCAAGCAAAGCTTACTGACTGTAGGAAATTGCTGGTCCAACCTTGGTAAGAGTCTACTGGGACTGGCAGAATGATGCGAGTAGTGTCAGACTGTAAACTGTCTGAAACTGTTAACTGTGGGTAATCACTGCAAATCTTAATCCAAATAGAGATTGTGCAGATCATTATGGTGACTCCAGGCGTGATGGTGTTGCTGCGGAGGTGACTGTAAGTAGGCCGTCCGCCTGCAGCGTGTATCACTACTATGAAACATTTGTAAAAAGAGAATATTGTCACGATGCCATGGCAGACTGTCAAATACTTTTCCACTCGGACAGAAAAAAAGCGATAATATATAACTCCTTACGTTTGGGGAAGTCTAAAAAGTTACCCACACTGTCCCAAAAAACTAAGATAAAAACCACTGACATCAAACCAATCTGTTGCAAGAGCAATAAGGATAATAATACCATCAAATATAGCAATAAAAGTGATAAAAACATTGACGGTAATAAATAATGCAAATTGTTAGCCACCTGTTACATCCAAAGTGATATGGAGGATCGAATGCCAAGTACAGTGTTTATCATTGGCAAACTCAATGTTGGAAGCCATTCATGTAGTCCAGCCTCAGGGGTGATGCAGATGAACCACATTAAATAAAAACACCTTGACGTCGAGGATGACAGAGCACCTTGAGAACAAGAGAGATGATATCCTGTGATTGAAAAACACAGTTTGGTCCTGTATGGTAAACCATGCCTTTCATAAGCTTTTTTTGAATGTTTGAATTGACATTTGTCTTCATTTCTGGTCATGTTTAGAGCGTATCTATCTACTGTGATTTAATGATAAGATTTGTTCTATTTCAGGCATGCTACTCTGAAGTGCATAAAGCATGCAGACCCTGACCTGGGCACTTTGCTAAGAGCTCTGCAAAGAGTAAGGTACATAAGACGACTAACTGTATAAGTTCATTATTGTTTCAAACCCAGGTTCACAGGCTATGTTTTCCAAATGAAAGCCACGGCAGTGTTAAGGTCAGGATGGCATCTTTTCTGTGGTGTTGCTTTGTAACAGTCTACATGGGAACCAACAGAATGGGAAGGAGATAATTAATTACTCTTCAGTTTCAATAAAGCAATATCCATATACATATACAAAACTACATCTCATAAATACATTTGGCAATATAATGTATTAACTTTTTGGCAAAGGGGGGTACAATTGAGCTGTTTGAAGTGTGCAAGAGTATCCAAATGTCAATCTAAGTGGCTTATTGACAATTTCTCTTTAAAAATAAATAAATTTAAAAAAACTTCATGCACAATAAAAATAACCAAATGACTCAAAAACATCCATAAGCGTCTGTAATAACTTTGTCACAATCACTACATTTCTTAAGACACATGAATTCTCACCAATGTAACACACTTACTCTCTTTCTCAAAGTCAATGCTTTAAAAGACCTGAGGAACATTTTATAATGTCTTCTCACTTCTATTGATTTACGAATATGTCCATCTTCACATTCCTGATATGAAAAAAATAAAATGAAATAAAAGCTGATAAAGTTTCCGGAGCGGCTGAGGGTGCAGAAGGTTGCACAGTACATCAACCCAGGTGATGTGCCTATGCTAACCTCTTCTACAGTGTTAGTTTTTGAATCCCTGCTCAGTTAAGTATTCTCCCTTTGATTTTGTTATTTCGGGGAATGATGTAATGCTGACGCGTCCCTATGTTTTGGAATGGCATTGTGAAGCTACAGTTATTTATATTCACCCAATAGCAGTACAGCCCCCTGGCATACAGAGAGGTATCTTTTTTTCTTAGTCATTGCAATTGTGAGAAAATGCTATAAACACCTGAAAAATGGGAATAGTCTCTCAATTGTTTGAATTGGTCAGTCAAGTTCTGTCATAGGATCTCTAATGAGTGACTGCATTCCATCGCATGCTTGTACTGTGATATGTTTTACATTTTGGATGACTGCACCTCTCCATTTAGAGCAAAGGACAGAGCACACTACACCATGGATGCGAGTGTGTTCTCTTCAGGGAGGTGGCAAGGGCTAGATGTTCGTAGGGAGTGCATGGCTGGCAGGACGCCCTCGCCTGGGGAAAGGTCGTTGAGCTCCTCAGACGACGAAAGAGGGAAGGAAGGGGACAGAGAGATGCCTGAGGAGGGGTCAGCAGATCCAGCAAAAGTGCGTGGAGGCTTGGGGACTAAGTTAGGCTCCATTGTTGCTCTGGCAAGAAGTTGTTTGTCATCCAACAGCTGTCCATCTACGAGACACTCCCCGTGCCCAAAGGAGCCCCGGCCAGACTCTGACTCCCCATCTGATAGCTCCAGAGGCGGGGAGCAGCTGCCGTCCAGTCTGAAAAGAGAGTCTAAGTACTGGGCGAACTCCAGCACCGCCTGGCTGGGGTTTCCATTGGACAGTTGGGGGGGAGGACTAGAAGCTGCCGGTCTGGATCCCGCACTAAACTGTTTATCTGCCGTCTCCCAATCTTCATTTTCTCTAGAGTCAATGTTTGGGCTGAGGGGAGCGTTAGGAGTGCTCCCTGGATCGTAGACACCAGGCATCTGTTGGTGGTCCCCATCAGGAAGCATTTTTCGGCTGGTGTTAGGCTCCGTCTGAAAAGGCTGAGCCGCGTCGCTCTGGTTTAGCAGAGCTGGGGAATCATGTCCACTGCTGCGGGGGGTAGCGGGGGACAGACGCATGGGGTACTCTGGGGTGGATCTGGAGTCCAATGGGGTAAAGAAAGGCCCGACCTGGCCCATGTGCTCTGGTGTGTCCGGACAGAGGCAGTCGGCAGCCAGGAGTTCAGTGCGGGAGCTGAGAGACGGGTTCTCCTCGGGGATCGGGGCATCCAAAGAGAACGGGAGGCCACACAGCATCGGTGAACCCCTAAGTGCAGCAGAGGAGCGTCGGGAATCCAGACTGTAGAGGGATTCGGCGTCTGAGAGACTCTCCATGAGAGCCAAAGGTGCTTTGCGGTCCCTCAGCTCCACTGTCAGGCGCTCCCGTGCTCCACGCAGCACTACAGGAACTGGGGGAGGAGGGCACTCAGCGAAACCATCCAGCGATATTTCAGACTGGGCACACGAACTAGAGGAGAGGAGAAAAGGGGTTGCAGAGTAGTGACAGGAGAGGAGGGGAGAGGGGATCCAAAACACAAGACAGACATGGAAAAAGGGTCAAGACAACTTAAAGGCGGGAAAAACGGGAAGTGTTAGTAACCACACGTATCTAGATTCTACAGATTAGGTGAACACTACCAAAACACTACATAAATGAAAGGAAGAACAGACAAAGGAGAGACTGGGAGTGTATTCTAGTCCTCTCATATTAGCATCTAATACAGAGTAGGTGCAATCATATTCAACCATCACAACCAGGAGTTAACAGTGACGTTGGACAGGGGTTATAGCAGAGGGCGAGGTGGGAACTGAATACTACCATAAGTTGCAACTGCTCTGTGGTCAGACAGCGTGCATGCGTGCATGAGAGAAGGGAGCACATTATGCAAAATTAATAGCATGCTTGGCTTACCGTAGCAATGTTTTTTGTCTGTTTTTTTTTTAACCAAACAAAACAGACAGAAGCGATGATTTTGAGAAAACAATAAAGTAGCAGTTAGTAGCAGTAGTAGTGTAAAGTATTGCCTAGAAAGTTAAAATAAAATTAGACATGTCCCCATGATTATTCCTGCAGTTTAATAAGAGTTTTTCTCCAGTATTTCTTAACTTAAGAGGGGAAAATTATTATACAGAGGATAGAAGAAAAAAAGTACACCCACAGTGGTGCCTGCTGTACTAACCGAACACTGCTGTTCCTGCGGTGGTGGGTTGTAGGTGTCGGCTGCTGAGTTTTTGATGTATCCACGAACATGCTCTCTGGGTTCAAGTCCACTTCTGTGGGGCTCACCATGATCTTTGCTGCTGAGAGCAAAGCTGTTTTCCCTTTGTTGTAGTTCTCCAGAACCTGTCACAAGAACAAAGGGTACACAGATACGTGACTTGAGAGATAAAGGTACGATGAGAGCAAGAGAGCAGGGAAGATACGCACTGATAATCCACATGAACAGAACAAAAATTGCTTACGAAAGGCCCAGTTCTAACTGAAAAGAACATATCCCCTCCCTAATGTATGTTTCAATTATATAATTCCGCTATACTCAACTTATACAAATCCGAAATTTCTACGCTGTTCAAAAAATAATGGATCCAGAGGAATCCGTTGAACTGACACCCGATAGAATAAATAAGTTACATTTTTATTTCTACTATATTTAAAAATATATACATATTATCCACGGACCATTAACACTTTTGGTATCATCAACACACTCCCAAATGCTGGTTGCAAAGTTAGTTATTCGGACCACACTCTGTAAGCTTATCATGGTTTTCTATTGTCACAAGAAACACCTTTATTTATATTTAACTGCTGATATGATTCCATCTATTATTATGGTGTTAAAAAAGAAAAGTGTGGTTCTGATAAATGTGCAATCTAATGGTGAACACCCACAATGGAGTCATAATGCCCGAGCAAAAACTACACAAGACTTTGTAACGATAAGGCGTAGTAAACCATAAGAGAAAAGTATAGGCAACTTCAAAACATACTAAATAATATTTTCCACAAAATCTGACTCCGGTGTGTTAATTGTTAAAGTGTGAGGAAAACAAACACACAACGGCAAATCACATCAACACACAATTGCATGTATTTGGTTAACTTTAATGAGTTAAAACACTTGGCGTAAAAACATTAAAAACATGTGGAACACATGAGAACACAAAAGCATACAAGTGATGGAACAATGGAACATAAAATGGCAAAACAAACTGAAAATGGATGTAAACAAAGACAACAAATCACAGGGAAGCATGCTCGTTAAGTTAAAAATGGCAACATAACTATGTTTGGGTTGTGTAGATGGTTATGGACCACAAATGAAAACATGACGATGTTACATGAGTGAGTGTGAGCAATGACACATGAGAACAACATTGCTGTAAGTGATCAACTACAGCAAATATTTGGCACGCACACATTCAAACACTTCACCTGCACTATAGGCACTATGACAACAAAAACTAAAAGAAATCAAAGCATGAGACTGCAGAGCAGGAGAGAAGTTTATACTCTGAGTTTTAAATTATGTAATGTACTGCAACCCCTTCAGCCATATATTCACATCACATATATCATTTATAAAAGCACATGTATGCATAGTAATATGAAATGGATGGTTGAGAATACGATTCCAGTTGCCATTTTTTTATGTAAGGCCCCAAATTGTTCCACACACACACACACACACACACACACACACACACACACACACACACACACACACACACACACACACACACACACACACACACACACACACACACACACACCCTGTTACTCCAGCGGCTGCTGATTGACAGTTCCTTGAAGGGATTATGATTGAGGAAAGGCTGAATATGTGCTTTCAAAAGGCAAAAAGAGAAGTGAGAAGAAGAGCTGCAGCCCCTGAAAAACCCAGCCAATAAGGAAGAAAGAGCAGTTAATGTGGAAGAAATTAGGTTACCATAGAAACTTTGTGAATACAAAGGAAACGTGTTAACTGGAGGAAAAGGGTTGGCAAGTTCATGCACACAGCACTTGACCAAATGTACTGTAGCTGTGCAAGGAATGGAAAGAATTGAAGGGTTGATATGAGGAAACCTGGATTATGAATCTCAATAAATTGAAACATATTGCACACATAGTTGTAAAATACTAATTTTAACTCTACGTTTTTAAGGTGTTACATATTATTTTATGGTAACATACTCCTTTGACCTGTGATGTATACCAGGGACTACTTATTGACAATATCACCCCAGCAACTTGCTGTTGTGAACGCACATTTCTGGTTCCAACTTGCTTTGTCAGTTGTTAACATTCTTTGAGGTTCTTCTCCACATTTCTACTTTCCTGGAACACCCTTTAACACAATACAGGGAACTTGCCTGGACTTGCAGCACCCAGGAACCAGTTGTTATATTGCGGAAAGAGCAAAAGGAAGTCTATGTAGCAAGAGGAAACATGTTGCCAACTTTCCATCTTTTCTCAACTGTTAAAGCAGTTGAGCTGCTTTGCATCTGAGACTTTATTGCCTTCTCTTAGTGGAATAACTGGCAGGCTCTATACACCTCTTCTATGGTCACTTTTAAATGTAAGAGCCAGTCTTACAAGAAGGCTTTTCACCAAGGACTGTCACATGAGCTTTAACATCAGGCACACTCTTTCTCTTAAACCTCAAGAACACATTTAGTCTGGCCATTTAGTCACAGTATTAATAGCAAGACTGGCAGTTTCTAAGTCTTTTACGATGAATAATTCCTTAAACAGAAACAACTACCGGTACTTTGATAAATGTGTTGTGCATAGCGGCTAATGGAGGCCACGACTAATACTGAGTGTCTATACAACAGTATCAGAGGGAGTGTTTGGCAAGTGTAAACTGCGGACTTCTGGTTTCTGCGAAGAGCCATGTGATATAACCATTTTAAGAGGAGGATCTTCTATCTGAGAACTGTTTGTCTCATGAGATGGCATTTTAGAAACGGGAGCAGCAATCATATCTGCATAAGGGTTAAAGTCGGATGGGATCGATTGGGTTTGAGGATGAATGCTGGAATGATCTTCTATAGAGAGTGCTTCTGAGTGAGCGTTGGAGGGACTGTTAGAGATTCGGGGGACAGACACCGAAACAGGCTCTGAGGCAGAAGTACAGTCTGATAGAGAAAGAGGAGGAGGAGGAGGAGGAAAAGACTCAGCATCGACAGTCACAGGGACAGCTTCAGTTTCTTTGAGGGACTCAGCGCAAGACGGGTCTTTGTGGGTAGGAGAGGACGAATTAGAGGGAACAGGACTCAAGTTTAGCGAGGTTTGCGAGGTTTGGAACGCAGTGGAAATGCAGCTGGGTTGATGCACTTCAGGCTCCTTTGGTTCACAGTTTTCCTGCTCAGACTGAGCACAAAATGGTTCCAGTACCTGCAGAAACACCAGAGGTATCATACTACAGACTACGCACGGCAGCAGACACAATATCATCCATTTAGAGATATACTGACAAAAGCCTGAGCCACAAAGTCCAATGAAAATCCAAGTAAGAAGAGAATCAGAAAGGAACAGACGTACAACTTCAGCAACAATAATAACATTGAGACAGTCACATGCAAACATACACATTGATACCCTGTAATCAAAGCAGATGTTCACCATAGAGAACACCTTAACACCAGGAGGGAGAAGTTCCCATGCTTTGAAACTAGAAGAAAACAAATGGTGCGGTAAGCTAATGAAGGGCCACATGCACACATTTGACCATAGAGTCGGGTTCAATCTTCCAAAACCCTGATGAAGATTTGTATTCTGTCTTTGCAAAAGTGTGCTTTTTGAGTGAAAAGAATCACTACAACGTATTCAACAATTGTTTTTTTGATTGCAGAAATGTTCAATCATGAGATGGGTTGGTTTAAAGGCCAGGAAGGGATAACTGTATGTCCAAGCTTTCTGAAAGCATTCTAATGAAGGTTTTACCAAACCTACAAAAAGGATCTATGTTGCAATTCTAAAATCAAAGTTCACTTTGGACTACCTACTCAATGAATCCAAATACTTGATTGTTAAATGTCTGTTTCTCACACTGCTCTAGTCAAACTACAGCTTCAGGATGCACTTATCTTTGCTGTTGGTACACTGTAAAGTGAACCCCATCAGCAAATATAATTTTACAATTTGTTTAAAAATAAATATATATATGGGATTTAAGAAAGAAGTTATATTTATGTTGCATGCCTGTAGTTTAACGGAGAAAATGTAATTTTTAAAAAGGCGTATCCCCTTACCCCCTTAACATATGTTAGCATACACATAATTACATTTTTCACATTTATTTATCATCCAGCAACCCAGTGTGGAAAATCAGAACCAACATTATTTGTGTTAGTACACCACAATTTCAACCCCCCTGCCGAATCCATCTGTATGCACCCAGATAAAACAAACCTTGTTGAGCCCCTCCATCACCATGTGCGGCATGTGCTCATTGAGCATGGCGGGTGATATGATGACCTCATCGAAGGCCTTGTTGTCTCCCCACAGAGCTGAGTAAGTTGGCTCCTCCTGGCCACAGCTAAAGAGCAGAAAGAGAGAGTCTGTCAATCATGATGAAGTGAACACGCATGTAGATTTTGCAACAGTCTGCCTCAGTAACCATATGGGAGAAGCATAATCGAGGCTATGACAACAGTGAGTAGAACATTATGTGACAGACTTAAGAAAGTGAGCTCATCTTAGAAACAAGAACAGACTCCAAAGATCGGGCTAAAAGCTCACTTGCTGCATATGGCCAACTAATAATTATTTCCAAAAACAGTAAAAAGGGGACAAATAATTGTTCAGTATCTTCATTGCAGTGCTCTTTTAAAAACCATCAGACATAAAAAAAAAAGGACACGGGGCGGCATCTCGCTGGCATTGTGAGATTAACCTGATCAGACCAATTCTGCCTCGTGGTTTTGCGTCATCTTGTAAAAGATGGTTAAAGATTTGAAGGCTATTTGCTTTTGTGTCTTCGTCAGATACATACAGCATAACTGCATTAGCAGGAAACTACTACAGGCCAGAGATCAGATTGTGGCATCTCGATGGACTCTATTTGAGGTAATTGGCTTTCAGTGTTGGTCAGCAATGCAACCATAAGTTACCTTTGATTGTGTTATAGTAGCCACCACCACTGAGTGTTATCAAACATGACAACTGAAATGATCTCTTTGAAAAAGTTATTACCATCCCTTACACTTTTTAAGATGGAGAATCCATCTGTTAATATCCATCAGCTCATAAGATCCCTCTAAAGTATTCTGGCCCTAGATAAGAGACCGGCTGATGCAGCATGTTTGATACCTGTGTCTTACAGAATCAACATCAAAATGTCTTCATCTAAAGAGTTATGTTTCCCACATAGTACAGAACTAATAACACCACGTACAAATAAAAAATGTAGTGATAGGAAGATTAAATAAAAACATCACAGCCCAGCAGAGAGAGCAGATAGAAAGCCAGGGGAGTGCTGCGTGACACACTCTAAGCCCACACTGTCCCCAGTATGCAATGTACACCTTTTCCCACTGAGCTGCTGGCTCTTTTATTTCACAGGTCTGAAAAATATATTTAATTTGCTTTAAGGAAAGTGTGTCCACACCTCAGATATAAAACCATTTGTGTGGTGTGGCTAACACATTACATTTTGGACAAAGACAATTTAAATGTCAATACCGCGCAACTGAATCTCATACAGGTAAAAACAGTAGCAATATTTGTATGTACATATAATTAGTAGGGTTGGGTATCGTTTGAATTTCCACGATTCTGATTCCGATTCTACTTTTCGATTCCGGTTCTTAACGGTTCTCAATTCCGATTCTTTGAGGGGCAGGGTAAAAAAATGATACATGCTTCTTCTACCAAAAAAAATACATTTATTCGAGAAACTTTTACACAGGTTAGGTTACAGTAATATTCACATTAATCAGTCTGTTTATATTCACTGCTATGTAACTGTAACATGAGAACCACCGAAGCTACAACAGTGCAACTTTTAAAGGAACCCCCCCATTTAAAAACAGTTCTTGTTGAGAAAAACAAACATATCTGCCTTCTCAGGCATACCGGGAAGAAATGTTTGAACATTTTAAAGTAAAATGCTTCAATCTGGTGCACTTTAAGCAGAATTACTAGAGACTAGATCTAGGGGGTACAACTCTAAACACCCATATCAAAAAGATCGGTTTACATTTTAATAATTAAATAAGTATGTGAACATAACCAATAACCTACCATAGCCAATAACAAATACATGTTACGTATTTTATTTTTGTTGTTCATTCATATCTTATTTTACTATTTTATTTATGCATATTTTGTTTATCTCTCCAGTTTAAAACGATATGTCTGGTTTACTGTCCTATACATTGGAATGATTTCAAACCTGTTTTATCCCAATATTAATAAAGGAGTGCCTTGGAAATATGTGTTTACATAAATTGTGATCAAAACGTTTGAGACCCACTGAGATAACTTAGACTAAAGTGAACTATCTAAACACTCAGAGACCTTTACCTCACTGAGCTGTAGTTATCAGCCTCTCAGTCTCTCAGTCTGACTGGAGAGTACTCTCCCTCCACATCATTGTAGAAACATCTTCTTCTTCCGTTAGAGCAGCTAGCACCAGATGCTAATAACAACAGCGCTGGTACCGGTACACCCTCCCTTTCTCCCTCGCTCGCTCCCACGCTCACTCGCACTTTGGCTGTGAGCTGGGGTGCCAGATAAGCCAACATCTCCCACTTTCATCACTTACAGCGCCCATTGTACAGGGCAAATGAAAAGAGTAACCGGGATGAAAAGGGTGTTAAAATTACTTAATTATGAATGTTGTTACATCAAGGCCGAAAATTAGGATGAGCACCAACGGTCCAAACTTTTTTTTTTATCCCAGAGCTGTCAGCGCAGCGCCTCCACGGATCTGGCGCTCTAGGCGAACTTCTATAACGCCAGTGCGACGGGCCGGCCCTGGGGCCTCATTGATAACGTCGTGCGTAGGATTCACGTGGGAAGGTTGCTTACGTAGTAGAAATCCCAAAAATAGATACAGAAATTTTCCGACATTTTCCGATTCACCAAACATTGCGTACTGGTGAGGAAAGTGCGTACAGCACTTCCTACGCCGGTTTCCCTTTATAAATCACAATGGACTCGAAATGTGGTGCAGCTTTTGCGGGCTTCACGTAACGCCCATATTTGCCTATAAATAGTCAAAGAAACGCCCATTCATTCATTCATTTTGACTGACTTTATGAAGAAGATTGCAGGAAATGACGACAGAACATCTAAAAAAGACATCTCACACCGTGTCAGATTTTGGTTATTTTGGGGAGGTCGAGATAAATCATATTGTTTGGTGGATGCAGTTTGAACCAGAGTAGCAGCATGAAGGTCTGATCGTCACCAAAATAAATAAATAAGTGGTCCGAAAAAGGTTAATGACAAAAAAAATACACATAGCCTTCCTCAGGCAGTGTGTTTGTACCGGGAACAGGAGACCCACCCTTGATTAGAAACTGTAATAAATGATCGGGGAATCCCTCCGGAGTGGAGTCATGACGACTGGATCTGAATTATGTTTTTGCATTTTTTTGGGCAAAAATGAATTCTTCATATATGATAAATGAGAGGTAACATTTTATTTATGGTATTATTTCCACATATTTCTCTCCATTCTTCCTTCTGCCAACGGTGTCGCAGTTTCTCGTCTCTCCCGTTGTTGTGCTTAGTGCGTAGTATGGGTTAGAGTTTGCGTGGAGGACCGCACGTTTTCCCGTCAAGTTAGTATTTTATAAATCGCAAACATTGCGTAGAAACTGCCGTGCGCCATTTTTTTGAGCGTATATCCCTTTATAAATGAGGCCCCAGGTGAGGATGACAGGAAGGTCCTTAGTTGCACATTTTCACCAAAAACCAGGAATCACCACATGAGTTTAGCTCATTAAATCCAGTTGTTAATAACTACATAAAGACTAATTTAACCAGCTAATGGCACAACTAAGAAAGTCAGAAGTCGAACAAAAACATGGGGCTCTACGGGGACAATGATTATTTGTACAAATTCACCTAAAGGTTGTTTAGAGATTTCAGTCTGGATAAAAGTTGTTGACCAACCGACTGATTTATGTCACCATCATCTGTTTTGCCAAAAGTAAATGATGGTTTAGTATTTGGAAATCCAGCCTAACTTGAAGGCAGATGTGTCCAAATCCCACGCTCAAAACCTGTCTCTCTTTCATTGCAGATATTACAGTGGATCCAATGTCAAACAGCTATGAATTGGGGGATCTCAAAGATGGCACATCATATGGAGTCCAGATATCAGGTTTCACTGAGGCGGGAGTTGGAGTACGAAGCACACCAATCTTCTTTACAACAAAATATCAAGGTTCAATTAATCAAAAATCTTTTCATCACTAAACATTTATACAATGTAATTTGTTACACTGCCTCACTAAATGTGTTTTTCCTGCTGTCTTTCTTTCCGTAGAACTTTCTAAACTCATTGGTGTCATCACAATCTTTGCAGTTATAGGCATTGTGCTTATATTTGGATCTCCGGTAATAAAAAGGTACAGTCACTTTCTTTCATGTATGCTGAACAAGCTGTCCCTACATGCTTGTATTGGTAAATACTTACTGTACACTACCTACTTTAACTAGAGCAAAAGTCATTCTGTGGCCGAGCATACCTAACCCTGGAAAAAGCAACGCAATGCGGAAAATAGAAGAGCCCTGTGAACTGGTGAGTGTCTGTTTTTGCAGTTTTAACATTATGAAGCAAAAATATAACATCCAGCCAGTCTGAGACAAAGTACAACTTAAGTTAATGAGGAGCTGTTTTTACTTCACTCAGGAACTACTAGGATCCATAAACCACCTGGAGGTGGAAGAATGGGATACAAACAGCCTGAAGATAGTAGAAAAACAAGAAGTGATCCCTGCTAGCCCGTTGCCATCAATGTTGCCGCTCCTCCACGCCTCAGATGATGAGGAAGACTCAACAGAAATGACTTGTAACTGGATCCAGGGAGACACAGGAGACTCAACTGATGAAATCCCATCTGACATTACTGGAAAAATCATCCCAGACATCAACAGGATAGACCCCCAGAGCTCTCCTTTCACATTTCCATGTGACTATACGACAATAGAAATGTTTCAGCAGGGGATTACTCAGAGCATGCCAGCAAGGACATCCTTTTCTCAAGACACAGAAAGCGACCCAGAGGACACAGAGTGGACTGCGATGAAATCAGGATTGGACTATATGAGCCAATTTAGTACTAGTCCAATCTTGGACGGCAAGGAGATGTCCACGATTTTTTTAAAAGAGTTTGGAACAGGAACACAAGAACCATTGTCCATGAACATCTGAATCATTCCACAACATCCAGAACCTCTATACTGTATTTCTACGCTACTTGAAAATGCACATTAACATCTCTGCTCATTTCTTAAGATACATCTTTGAACATAAAGTATGCTATTTTCATCTTTACATGGATAACCTTGAAGTTTGAATAAAAAGGGCAAAAAAGACCTCATTTACATGCCCTGGCTTCATAAGCATTAGTGAAATGATTATAATCACTTTGAAATGAAGTTCAATTGAACAATCGTCTCAATGCCTTTTCTATATCTGCAACTGTGCAGAGATGCTGAGTTTAAACAGAAAAAGAAAAACATGCAGCATTTAAATATAAACTTTTTCGCTAATGATTCAAATCTTTCGGAATGGAACTATTTTACAGTAAAATCACCAGATTCCAAGAAAGCTAACGTCGAAATCAGCAATTACTTGGTGGAAGGACACAACTGAGACCAAATGACTGAATGAAAAGTGTCTTTATTGAGTGTTTTTGGAAACAGATCAGATGTTTTGTCAGTTTCAAACTGAGGATGAGCACATACATCCAGGCTCTTCAAAAACAGTGTGTTCACCAAACCTTTAGATGAAGTCCCAAACACAGATATCAAGTGCCTTATCCCCCAGAACAAACCATGAATCTTTTCTACATGTTGACAATACATGGTGGATACAAAATATGGTTTGTGTTATTGTGTCGAAAATGTTTTTTTATTTTGTATTAAACATTGTCACGACTTCACCACTACAAACTGAAGCTTTGTGTCAATGAAAAAAGCAAAGAACCTATTAGGTTTGTAAAAGCCATAAAGGTGGAATTTAAATTCCATTTCAAATTAAAGCTTTCCTAAAAGCACTGATGTTAATGCGGGGCCAGTTTGCGGAAACATCTTTGACACAATCACAATTATGCAAACTGAACAGCAAATTTAAACATGATAGAACAGATTGTGAAATAAAAGACAAATTCACTGAAGGTTCAATCTACTCTATTCATTACTAAAGACAGCTGACAATACTTAAATATAACTTCACGTATTTTACATCCTAAACCATAATTCCAAGTTGCATCTGTCAATAAGTCTCCATATTTTATTAGAATATTCTGTACAATCTTAGTCTAGGCACTTTTTGACCCTTCTGTGCGTGCAAGTAGTTATTTGACCTTTGACATATCCAGGCTCTGTTTGCGTCTCACTTTCTTTAGAGCAATATGAGCCAACACACATTTTGCACACCACCATCATCTTTTTTACAGTATAGGATTTTTTAGTATTTAAAAAACAGTAAATACCTTCTTTTTTTATCTCACAGCATTACAACAACAACAACAGGAAAAAGAAACATTGTGACAGCTATGATTTAGCAACTAACCTGAAATATATAAAAGCAAGTGAAAGTACACTCATAAAACAAAATATAAAACGATGAATTCATGGTGACCATATCAGAAATGTTTCTTTTTATAAAACACATTAGCAACATGTTGAAAGGAACAGTATAACACCATTTTGCATTCTCACATTACAACACTTCAAGTCTCAACAGCAGTTGACCGGTTCCAGGAGGCAGAGCAGGGAGAAAAAGGACATTTCACAAACCTGGTTGTCAAATCTCCCTTTAACGCCACACAAAGGGCAACTTTTCAATACACTCCTTCATGCTCTTACACCTTACAAGTTACCATTTGTTTCACTCAGTAAATAAGCCAGCAGAATACAGGAAGTTGTTGTCACAGCCACACCAAGGCCAGAGAAGCAGACTTAGAGAAAACAGTTACACCCCATGAGACCTCAGTCAGAGAGAGGGATGTTTTAGTTTTTTGGAAAAATGGCCCTATCAATGAGGGTGTTGGAGAGGAACTCCCTCCGGTGAGAACTTTCAGATTTTAGTCTTTGCTGATCCATATACAAAAAGCATAAAAGCGCCTTTTTAACAGAGCTGCACCCATTTTTTGACCAAGCATTAGGTCAGTCAGAGTTAAAGTCAGTTGTCTATGCATTGAGAAAACAGCAGCTTGCCGTTAGTGGGGATTTTAGCCTTTGCAGACCATTACTATGAATAGGGATGCCAGAAACTGACCATGATCAAATTCGAAAATCGGACAGCCCTGGCGAATATTAATCGATTATTCGATATTATATTTTTGTAGCGACACAATTTTTTTTTCATTTGCACTTGTCAGTTCGAAGTAGTTCCACGAGGAACTCTTCTTTGAACGTACCGCTTTGTTCATCTTTAGTTGTGTTGTTCTCACTGTTCTGTATGTCGCCAATAAATCAATCGCACGTGTGACGGAAAGGGGGGGGCGGGGTCGGTGTGTAGCAGCGCAGGCTGAGCAGAGTGCAGCAGTCTGCACTCTG